AGGGGACCCCCTGACTTGGAAGGAAAGCTGAGCGGCGAAGGGGAAGCCAACCCAGCAGCCCCGCCCCGGGGCCGGCCGAGGGAAGAACCGGGGCTTCGCGAGCGGAAGGGCGGGCTGGCGGTGCGCACCGGGCTGCCCAACACCGCCTTGCAGTACCTGAGGGCAGCGCAGCGGACCCGCACAGAGCCAGGAAGCCGATTGGCCAGGTCTCTACCGAAAGAGGTGGTCTGGACCGGAAGCCAGGCCACGTGACCCGGGAAGCCGCCGTCGCCGGACCGGCGCGACTGCGCACTCCGGCGTGTTCCTTTGGAACGCGCGCGGGCGGCAGCCCAGGCTATTCGGTGGTGGGAGCACAGGGTTCCAGGGGAACCTTTGTCGACCCCTCTGTGTGGGGTAGGGAAGGTCGGGACCGCGGAGAGCCTAGTTCGAGCTCCGATAACTCCCAGTGGCCCAAGAGGGTGGGACGGAGGCGTGACAGCTGGTGATGATGGAGAGGAGAGAGAGGGAGTGCTGCAACTCTGGGGAACACACGTCAGCTCTGTCGTGGAGCTCGTGCACGCGTTCGGGGGCCTTTTGCAATGACTCTGGCTCTAAACTGTGCGGAATCCGGCCCCTCCTTCCCATCGCACTGCTACATCCCTAGACACCTTTCACCCCAAGCCGTTTTTAGTGTCTGCCCTAGGCTTCCTTCACACGGGGTCGCCCACCACCCCCAACCACCTGGGTTCCAGTTTAGCCTTGCCAATGACTTGCTCTGCCAGGCATGCCCTTCCTCTCAAATGTCACATCTCCCACGAAGCCTCACCCTCAAACCCTGTGAGAACGAATCTCTCTTTCACCCACATGCTCACTAAGCCTCTGTTTAGCATATCTTGAATTCTATTAATTTTTCATCCCAGCCCAGTACAACTGTCTGATATATAACACAGTTAATAAATGTGAGTTGACTGATAAGGATTATAAAATGATAGATTTGTTAAGAGCGGTAGTGCTGAGCATCGTGTCTGGCACATAATGGATGTCCATATTTTTTTGAATGAAAGAATGCATGATTCATCTAGTCCGACTCATCCTCTACAGATGAGGAAAGAGGAGCCCCACGGGACTAAGTGACCTTGTTTGAACAGGCAGGGATTTCTCATGTCTAATGCTATTCATTACCCGTCACCTAGGTTCTTACAAAGGAAGCTAGAAAATTGCTTTTGTTGAGTTATGCCCTTTTTTGCGGAGGTTCCCAAACATAGTCGCCAGAATTTTTTAATGGCCCAAAGTGAAAAAGAAATGCTAAGTTTTTCAAGAAGCTAAATGTAATCAATTTAAAGGAATCTTTTATTAGGGATTATGTCCTTTTTGTGTGTTTAGGATAGTACATAATAGAGATTGGGGGGCCTTTTTTAAATAAAATGTATAATAACTCCTCTTTTAAGCACTATTATGTTGCTTGGAAAATTTTCTACTAACATGAATGATTAATGTATACTGGAATATTAAAGAGGTGGTCCCCCCAAAGCACAGAGATGGCTTTCTGTAGGTTTTTAGGTCTCCTGCCCCAATTTCTCTGTTTCCTGACTAATCATGCCCCAAAGGTACATGTTAATGACCCATTTCTCTCTTACTACACTAAGCAGATGCCATGCCATGAAAACTTGCCCTCTGAATCCAAACTGCTTTTTTTTTTCTTTTTCAATACAAAACATATTTCCTCAGGGATAACCACCTCCAAGTTTAAACTCATTGGTTATGCTCCTAATGTTGGTCTGTTGTTCTGAAAATGAGGACGGGAGACTTGCTGATGACATATTGGCAGTCTCTGGTGTTCCAAGCCAAGAAAGGTGGGGGTTGGAGGTAGTGAGGGAAAGGAATTATGGGAAAAATAATTAGCAGCTGAAAGCAGCTATTACATAATCTTGGCTGCTTATTAATTTAGCAGAAGGAATGGCTTATTAAATTCTAATAGCAACAGCACAAATGCAAACAACCTAGCAATTAACAGTGCAGGGCCCATTATTTTGTTAATATGTTCTCTTCTTTTGGCAAGTCTATAAGAGCAAAATTTATAGAAGCAGATGGTCTTTTTCAGTAGATTATAGATGGTTTATTCCTCAATCTTAGTATTAAGTGCTAATTGTGCATTCACCCTGAAAGACAAAAGAAGCTCTGTTACTGTCTTTGTTAGTAATTAATCGCTTGACTTTGATTACCACAATTTTTAAATTGTGGGCTTTGTCATATGCATGTTTCTTCTCACCTAATATCTTCTTCATCTATTATGTTAATAGGGTATCTTTTTAAATCCTCTGCTTTTGTTATCTGGGTAGTCCTGATTTCTTGGTTGTTAATGATAGCACAAAATTATTTTTATGAAAATTAAAAATCAAGTTTTTAATTTGTTCCTTTTTTGTACAAGAGATATTTATTAAAAAACCATTTTCATGGAACCAGAACATGTAGTTTCTTGATGCAAGGTTGCCTGATGTTACTGGTTTCAATGGCCCAGGTAGGTAAAGGAAAATTCAACAAGGTCAGAAGAAAGAACAGATTTATCTTTAAGTAGGAAAGATAATTTTGTCTCACATATACAGAAGGAGAAGAATTGAAGTATATCAGGTAACTTGCCTGTTATTTACTTTTTTAGATATAATTGACATGTAACATATTACTTTCAAATGTACAACATAATGATTTGATATTTATATATATTGCAAAATGATCACAATAAGTTTAGCTATTATCATTTGTTTCTTAAATTTAAAAAAGAGCCTATCTTTCATGTATGCTAAATTCAAGAGCGAAGGGTAAAATAGAGAGTCTACTTTCTAACAATAAAATGTTGAGACTTGTTATGTAATCTTTTTAAAGTTTTCAAAAATAGTTTTAGTTTTCTGTTAAATGTGTGTTGACCATATGATTTTATCTCCTCTCCCTCTCAAAATGCCATTAAATGAAAAGAAAGAGAGAGAAATGTTTAAAGTCTGTATCTACAAGGACAATAAGAGAGGATGTCAACGGGAAGTCATGGTACGCTGTCGCTCATCATTAAACACTGCAATTTAAGTAAAAATTGTAATATGTGTATGTTGAGAATATGGAGAAGCAGAAGTGAGGGGATGTTGAAATATTGCTAAATCCTCATGCACTAACAGTAAGAAAACAGATAACATCTAACATAAACCAAGAAATTGAATTTTTAGTAAATTCCAGAAGCAATAATGTCTCTTTTTCCAGGGACTGAATCTTGAGGTAGGATGTAATAAAGATTATTACTGCATTTAATTTTACTGCAGGTTTTACTTAATCTTCTTAAAAATTATAATAAAGTAGATTTTTAAAAAACCCTTCTGTTAGTATTATG